ATATATTTTACTTCTTTCAAATTAATATATTATTTATTAAAAATTATTTATTTAATTGCACATTAATAAAGTTGGATTTTTATATATATAATGAAAAAATTAAGTTTCTTATATTCTTCCTTTGCATGAATACTATTAATTTATTTATTGGTTAACTAATAATAATATTATAATAAATGCAATTAGTTATTGTAATAATTAATTATAATAATAAAATAAATTTATGATTATACTGATAATGCAAACTATAACAATAAATGACGAGATCCGCAGTCGGATCCGCCCCAGGACCGAGCCAGTACAGACCTAACATCCGTCATTCTTCCGACGCGCGTAGAAGAATGAAATCTGCAGGCGGAACAAATCCAGTACCGCGCCAGTACTGACGAAAGTAGAAAGGCGGATCCAAAAGTCGGAGCCTAATCTGTTCCGCGCCGGTTGCATTTTAGGATCCGAATCGGTACAGACCATCGGTGCTGGCGGTCCGTACGGGCGCGGATCCCAGGCGGTTGTATAATCCGACATTCGTCCGACTTTTCCTCCTGGGCAGGATTATATGAGCGTTGAATTAAGTAAAAACTTTTTTAAAGGAAACAAAAGAATGATTTAATTCAAGATCTTACACTTAATTGAATTGAATAAATAAAATATTTTTTATCCCACATGCACAAAAACGGCGCTTTCTGATAGCAGCCGACAGGGAGGAAAGTCATTCATTTCTTCGACCGTATGAAAATGGCGGCCGTGTTCTCCCAAGGGCAAGAAAATTAGCTGTTCACATGCATTTTTCTTGCCCAAGGGAGAAATCGGCCGCCATTTTCATACAAATCGAACAAGTGAATGACTTTTACTCCCTGTCGTCTGCTATTAAAAATCGACACTTTTGTGCATTAGGAATAAAAAATATCGTAAGCAACACGTGAATGAAGGCAGCCAATTTCTTTACGATGATTTTGGTGACACCTCCACTCGTGTCACAAAAATCACCGTTAAGAAATGGCTGCCTTTATCCTCTTGTTGCTTAATATACTATCATTCCAGAAAATATAATATTCTCGCAAGAAATTAATGATTTTGAAACATGAGAATATAGAAATGCTTCAAGTAAAAGAAATGCTTAGATTAATTAATATTTCTTTGAAACAAAATAATTTTTAATTGAGTTGAAACAATTATTAACTTGTATTAATCTTCCCATTTTCTTGGCTCAAGACTATGGGTGTTGGATGAAATAATAGTTGCTTTAAAGGAAATAAAAAAATTATTTGACTCAAGATACCAAATGACTCAAGGTAAATTACTTGACGTGAGAACATGATATTCTTGATTCAATACTTTTTCGAGACTTGGCGCATGTAAAACAGTTCGTTTGAAACAGTAAGATATTTACTTATGTCAAACCCATATTTTCTTATTTCAATAAGACACAAGAAAATAAATTTCTTCCAATAAGAAAATATGGGTTTGTTTCAAATAAATCAGGTCAAGAAAATGCATTTACTTGATTCAATGAACTTTTTTTTTCAGTGTATACATTATGAAATTTTTTGGTTTTCTTTTCCAGGTATTATACTTTTCAAGAAAATAGTCCTCCCGTTTTAGTAATAAAAAAAATTGTCTATTTGAATATGGCATTTGTCGCCGCCATTTTGTAGTAAAATTTACATAAAAAAATTTATTCTGGCACTTCAATATGTATTTAATAAACTCTCTAAAAGAAAATCCTATTTCTTTTCTCATTTTTCCATAATAAATCATCAAATTTAGGTCTTTTTTCTGCCTTTAGAGTGGTGTTACCCCTTAAAAATCAATCAAGATAAATAATTGATAAACTTTCTCTCTTTTTAAAAAAAAATTACTCATTAAACTAAAGTACTGTGTTTGTTACTGCCAACAAACATTTAACAATTGTGTGATAGTGACACATGGTAATAATTAGAGTTGTGCAAAAAGCTCTAAGCTCGAGGCTCGATCGAGCTTTTTCGAGCTTTTCATTTTTCGAGCCGAGCCTAATCACTTCGAGCTCGAGCCGAGCTGTGTAAAAAGCTCGAATAGTTTCAAGTACTCGAGTTAATTCGAGTACTCGAATTTTTCGAGCACTCGAGGGAATTCGAGTACTCGAATTTTTTCGAGCTCTTGAGTAAATTCGAGTTCTAGAGAAAATTCATAGAATTTTCGCATTTCTTATATTTAGCAAATAGAAATATTGATTCAGTAATTCAAATAAATTCGAAATTTTTTACTTATTAATAGTTTTTTAGTAAGTCAAAAGCTCGAATCCATTCGAGTACTCGAAAAATTCGAGTACTCGAATTCACTCGAGTGCTCGAATTTAATCGAAGTTACTCGAGTACTCGAAAATTTCGGGTACTCGATACATCGAGCCGGCTTGTGCTCGGCTCGGCTCGAAAAAATTTCGGCTCGGCTCGGCTCGGCTCGACTTTTCGAGCTTTTTGCACATCTCTAGTAATAATGATAGTAATAACACAGCCACACAAAAAAAAAAGTTCTTATCTGGGGGTCTCACTATGTAGACTTTATATTTTTTGGGTCGCTGAATCCGAATCCGAGGTCCATTTAACCCCATCAGATCAGGATTTTGACAAAACCTCAAAAAACCAATATGGCGGACACATTTTTTAAAAGTTCATCGGATTCGCTTGAAATTCGTTACTCGGGGGTTTTTGGGGTCGCTGATTACGAATTTGAAGTCTGATTTCAAGAATTCAAAATGGCGGATCCAATATGGCTGACACAGACATATTGGATCCGCCATTTTGAATTTTTGAAATCTGACTTCAAATTCGTAATCAGGGACCCCAAAAACCTCAGAGTAACGAATTTCAAGCGAATCCGATGAATTTTTCAGTAACGTGTCCGCCATATTGGATCCGCCATTTTGAATTTTTGAAACCAGACGTCAAATTCGTAATCAGCGACCCCAAAAACCCCCGAGTAACGAATTTCAAGCGAATCCAATGAACTTTTCAAAAATGTGTCCGCCATATTGGTTTTTTGAGGTTATGTCAAAATCCTGATCTGATGAGGTTAAATGGACCTCGGATTCGGATTCAGCGACCCAAAAACATAAAGTCTATAGTGCCACTAAAGCCTAGGTCTATAGTGCCACTATGACACTAAAGTCATAGTGAGACCCCCAGATCAGAACTTTTTTTTTTGTGTGGCTGTGTAATTTATGCCTTGTTAAATTAAAAAAGGTCATAATTTTCATAAAAGATTTATTTTTTGTACAGTTTTGAAGAAATTTTCTTTAACTTTGAATAAAATTTTACGATCACTGCTGGACACCCCACTATGATATATTTTGGAGAAATGTTCAGTTTAAGCGACCCAAAGTTTCTTATAAAAAAAGTTGTTATAATTATTTTCATTATGTTTATAAACAAATACTACACAGAGAATTAAACTTACCCTGAGGAGTGTAAAACTTGACAAATATTTCAGTGTCAAATAAACTTTGTTTTCATAAAAACGATGCTATTTTTTAACTTTTCTTATTTCTATAAATAAATAAGAATAGAAATTGTTAATTTAATTTGTATATAAATATATGAAAATTCATCATGAAACATTGACTTAATAAGAATGAACTTAAATCGCCATAATCGAACTAAATTAAACAAAAGTTGTTTTTTGAGCATTTGTAAAAAAGTTTCATTACTTGTTTAGTATTTTATATTATCTCTAAAAATTTATATTTAAAAAAAATAAAAAATCTATCCTCACAGATTTTTAAAAAATTTTAAACTATATAATAAAAATCAATTTGCACTATTTTTTTATTTCTGCCTACTGTACATTCTATATGGATATCCTTATTTTTGGAACCCGTTGAAATATTTCTAGGACGTTCGTAGGATAACCTAAATATCACAATGTTATCAGAGAGGATAAGATTCAGTGCTTTCATATTGTAAATGCAGCATGCGACTTATTTTAAAATTCCTTAGTATAAACAATTAAAAAGCAACGAGTCATTAAAACACGTGCCATGTATGGTAATACTGTCAAAACGAAAGTTAAAAATCTATTGTATACATTTAATTGAATATTTTCAATCTGACAACATGAAAAAAAAATGATCTCTTATATATTTAATCAAGTCAATACTTAAAAAACTGATAAATTCTAGGAATCTTTTGAAAATGCCAAAATGATCTTCACAAACTGTTACTTAAAAGTATTGATTTTGAAGGAACGTTTATATAAAGACTAAACTGAAGCACGTAAAAGTTTGTATATTGATAAAAAATTGTAATCTTAAATAAAAAATTTGATTAAGATCATTTTTCAAAATATTCTTAGAAATGTCTATAAATAATATTAAAATAAAATTCAAATATTTTATAAGATGTCTGTATTTTAAAATAAAAAATACTTAAGAAAAAATGAGAAAAATGAGCTTAATTCAAATTTTAATGAATGAAAATCGGAAATTACATGCTATTATTATCTTTAGCATTATATACCAAATATGTAGTCAATTCCTTGAAATCAATTGGAACCCGAGATTTTATTTCATAAAGAAAAGTGCTCGACATGCTATTAAAAGTCTGATTCAGTATCAATAACAACAAAAATAATTATTTTTATGAAAACTTTTTATTGCCCTTGTAGACAAACAATAACAAAACATGATTTTTTCTAAAATTGTTAAACATTTATGAAATCAATGTCATTTACAGCTCCGAATAGTCGAAAAGGGTGCTATGGGTAAAATGTTCTGAAATGGCGCTAGTGTTCCAACAAATTCACATAGATTGAAGATGAATACAAATAATCAGGTCCCCTGTCTAAATGAAGTGGTACTGTAAATATACAAGTATTTCAAAAATGTCCTTTAATTCTAAACTAAACAGTAGTCTATATTCTTATTCTATTCAGTAGTCTGCCTACTGTCAGTGCTAAGAAGCACAAACATTGGGCGTGGTGGGGAGGCAAGTATGAGTCCAACAACCTAGGACTACAATATCACTCACCTGGTTGGTACATTGGTCGTCAGTTCCTGTAAATAGGCCAGCGGAATCTCTCATTGCACAAAACCACTACACATTCATTGAAATTTTCACCACTGCACTAAACTTGCTTTCGATAAAAAAAATGTCCCTACAGTAACCTTATTGCTTCAAGCAAATAAAGGTACTTATAAAGCTAACCGCGGTAAACTTAAACTGTACATAAAACACTGATAACAATAATGAGATTCATTAATAATCACCAGGGATGTATATCAGGATGTGAATTTTTATTATGGAATTATTAGAAACATATATTTTCCTGTGTAATTTAGTAGTGACACAAGTGAGATGAGAGAAGTGAGGAATTTCTCTTTTTTAACGCATGACAAAGTTTTCGAGAAGGAAACGATCAGTGTACTAACTGCTGGTTCGCAGGCTAGCTATTCGTTCGACCCAAGTAGTAAACTTACCGTAAACGCATGCGCTCGGTTATGTAGTGGTAATGCGCCGTCGCTATCAACCCCTTGTTCACCCGCACCATACTTACGACCGTATTTCATTCCCTAAATCGGTACCCTGTAGATTTCTGTATATCTATATAATACACGGGGATGAAAGAACAAGAGCTGATACTGTTGGATAATTTCTACCAATAGATGAAAAAATCAGAATTTTACAGAGATTCTAAGTTACGAATGTTGTATCATTAAAATATTTATCGTGTTATACTGCCGAATAGCGAATTAACTAAACATATATAAAAACGGACGAGCAGAATTCATAACAGATAAACAAATTTTTATACATAAAATTAGTAAAATAATGTTTAAATTTGCAGCAATATTGGCAACATTTATCTCAAAAGCTTAACATTTCTGCAATATATTATTGCGCAACATTAGACTAGTGAGATAATATTGCCAATATTATAATATATAATATAATATTGTGTAGTAATGAGACATCTCTAATTCAATTAGTCATTCACTAATTCAAATTAGTAATTAGTTTGTCTAATTTATAACTAGTATGCCAGCTAAATAAAAAAGTCTGTAAGTGACATTTATTTTAAAGTTGTATTTCCCGTAATTACCCTAGTAGAAATTTGTCCTAGTTATTATAAAGGAACTGTCCAGTCGCTAGTAAAGTAACTATAGTTACTTTACTAGCCAACTAGCTAACAACTGGAATGGAGTGTCACGCTTTTTTCATCAAGTTATTATCTAGCCCAACTTTATAAATTCTAGTCAACGGTTCTGTAGAAAAACTAGACAAATTAATTCTTTTAAAATACTGAAAATTTGTTTAATATTAAGATTTATTGTAGTTAACACATTTATTCCATGCAATTAATATAAAATTTCTATTTAGCACCAAAAAAATTCAAACAAAAATATTTTTGGAAAATTTCTTTATCCATTATAATATATAAATAATAAATGGAATACAATAAAAAATGATATAATAACATTTTAGAATTTTTAATTAATTAGTTGAATTATTAACAAAAATATTTTTGGAAAATTTCTTTATCCATTATAATATATAAATAATAAATGGAATACAATAAAAAATGATATAATAACATTTTAGAATTTTTAATTAATTAGTTGAATTATTATATAAAAATATAATGGAAATAGTAAATTATTACATGTAATTTCCTACATTACTTTTTGATTTTTTAATCAATTCAAAAAAATTCTAACTTTGATTATCCTAAATATTTACTGTTTTCTAACAACTTTCATTTTTTACATTCTCATCATTTGAGAAGGTAAATTAGTTTTGTGCAAATTTTGACTTTTGCTAATTTTATGAAATCTTTCGTTTTGGGGTCCCCTGAACCCAAAAAACATGGTTTGGCAATGGTGTCTGTCTGTGTGTCTGTCTGTAGACACAAAATGTTGTTCCCATGATAACTTTTGAAAAACTTATCGGATTGTTTTTAAATTTAACTCACTTAAAGTTAGTGTAAAAATGAAGGCTAAGTTCGTTAACCAGCCATTTTCGTTGAAAAATACAAAAACTAGAGTAGTTTCAAAATTTTGAAAACTCAATTTTTTCAAATTTTTAACTTTACATTATTTTAGGTTAGGAAAATACAAACAACTTTTCTCTATAACATTTTTTGATAAAAACTCATTTTTTTAAGTTATTGGGTCAGACCACTTCAACTGTGTTAAAAAAATTTTATTGATATTCTAAAATTTAAAACTTTTATAAAAATCTGTAAGCGGATTTAAAAGTTTGTATAGCTTCGTCTCACACAGTGCTGAATCTTACCTAATTAATTATTTAAAGATTTACATGCAAACTTTGTAGTATTATTTATTTTCAAATTTTAAAGAAAATTGTGTAAAGGTTTACATGTCCCACTTCAATAGTTGTTTTGCAACGTTAACAATTAATAAATAAATTGATTACTGTAATTCAATTTTTAATTAATTTTATTATTTAATATTATTAATAATTGATTATTAATTAATTACATTTTTAATTAATAGAAAATTAAAATTAAACTAAAATGAAATTGAAAAAAATTAATTTTTAATTAATTTTATTAATTTATTATTTATTACAAATGAGTATAAATATTTATTAATTAATTTTATTAATTAATATTATTATTGTATTATTAATTCATTAATAATTAATTAATAATAATAAATTAATTACATTTTTAATTAATAACAAATTAAAATTTAAAGTTTTAAAATATTGGAAAGAATAAGAACAAATTAATCTCTAGCAAATAATCAGTCGAGCTGTCCAGTTATTATAGACATTATTGCAGTGCCATCGACACGACAAACTTAGAAATATAATTTCTTGGAGTACTTTAAAGTAACATTAAAAAAACTAGACAGAAGTTATGTCTAGCCAATATCAAATTCAACTTGAATCTTTGACGAAGAGCGCAGGTCAGTAACTTCACAGTTATTTACCAGTTCGCCTAGAATCAGCGTCCGTGACAAAAAATTGTAGACTTTTTTATTTTATGCAGAAGGAGTGTTAATTAAATATTAAGTAAGAAAAATTATTGCAATAAGGAAATTTTTTAATTTTTCAAATTAATATTTTTTCATTTTAATTACTTTTAATAAAAAAAAATTATAATTAGTTTTATTTAATTAAACTTTTAATTAAATAAAACAGTAAAATTCGAATAGTTTGTAAAAATATTGTTAAACTAATTTTAAAGAATAGAGGGATTTTTGTTAATAGAGATTTATGGTAAATTTCTCTTAATATTTACATATTATTGTAATGAAAGAGATTTTAATAAAAATGTATATACAAAATGTAGTTTTGCAACGACCGATTCAACTGTACTATAATCTGATTCAATATGGCCGTATATTGTATATACATTAGTATATGTATATACAAGGTATGCTTATGACATTAATGGATCACTGGTATCGATTTCCTCTCTTCCAGCTAATTTAAAGTCTAGCTAAGAATCGAATCACAGCCACTTATAGCAGCGATACGTTCACATATGTATATGTAATTATAATCATCTTGAAAAATTTCGTTCTGATGTAAAATATTTCCCCACACTCATATGGTATATCACAGAAAAAAGGGTGATAAAATTTGAAGAGGTACAGGGTAAAAACGACTTAAGTAAAGGGTAAATTTTTAGATATAATTAAAAACTTACCGGAATATAACTTCACTCAAAACAAAATGCAAATGTATCAAAACGTGATTAAATTTTATTTAATTAGTTATACCTACTGTAGATTATTTCAATATTAATAATTCAATTCAATTTTCACAAAAAATTAAAGCGGTTCATTCATTTAGGAAAAATAAAATTTTGTTTATAAAGTTGCAAAAAAATTAATTTTCCAATAGCTCTTGTAAAAATTTTTTTTTCTGTTCTTCCGTGGACACATTCTAAACGCCAAATATAAATGTTTTTTCAACATTTGGATTTAAAAAAAATACTTTTTATTTTCTGTGAAAATTTCACGAATTCTGGCCCTGATAAAAGTTTACACTTACGAAAATTTGTTCTAAAAATTCAACTGCTAGTTGAATATTAAATTAAAAAGTATATAGTTAGAGTTTCAATTTTCTAATTAAACTATTGTATATATAGTTAATTTTACTACTTATGCATTAATATTATTAAATATATTATTATAATTATATAGTTAATAATATATAATTATGTAATTAAAATTATATGTGACCTGGTCTATGAAAAGGGACCTTACGTGTCAAAAAATCATTTTTCACTTTTTTGTTGATTCGAGTAGATTTTGAAACGCTCTTTAAGATGGTGACAACCAGAAAGTCATAATTTGTTAAGAAGTTTTTTAAAAGTTTGTTTAAAGTCAGGAGAAACAGGAGTACAAATACGAAAAGACTGGTTTTTTGTTATCATAGAAATTAAAATAACGAAGACGATAATTTGTTATTATTTAGAAAAGTTGACAGTTTCTTTGACAGCTGTCAACTGTCAAAATTAAAATTTGATGTCATATTCGTAATCAGCGATCTAGAAAACCTTATTACTGTCTTTTTTTATTAAAAATGATCACTTTTTAGAGAAGTTGATAGTTGAATTGACAGCTGCCAACTGTCAAATTGTCAATTATCACAGGCCGACAAAATTTTGGCGAGTCTCAGAACCAAGAACCGGACAATACTTTTCCGAAGGTTCTTGACGTGCTGAATCCGAATCTGACCTCAGAATTGCCCCATCATGTCAGGTTTTTGAGATATTCTAACCTAAAAGTGCCAAAAACACGTTTTTTTGGCATTTTTGAAGTCCTGTGCAATTAAAAGACAATTTTTTTCCAAAAAGTTATTTGCGGCATCTGAAAGTACTATTTTTCCCCTTTAAAAAGCCTTTTGAAACTTCAAAAAATCTTTACTTTTCACTGAGATATCGTCATTTGAAGTTTTTGAATGTGGTAAATTTGTCAATATTCGTATACTGACCAGATTAAAAAACTTCAAATGATGATATCTCAGTGAAAAGTAAAGATTTTTTTAAGTTTCAAAAAGCTTTTTAAAGGGGAAAAATAGTACTTTCAGATGCCGCAAATAACTTTTAGAAAAAAAACATGTCTCTTAATTGTACAGGATTTCAAAAATGCCAAAAAACGTGTTTTTGGCACTTTTAGGTTATAATATCTCAAAAACCTGACGTGATGGGTCAATTCTGATGTCAGATTCGGATTCAGCACGTCAAAAACCTTCGGAAAAGTATTGTCCGGTTCTTGGTTCTGAGATTTGCCAAAATTTTGTTGGCCTGTGATTATTATCGTATTTTTTTTTAGAATTGATATTATCCCACAAAGCACAGTATTTTTCTGCAAGTTTGCTGCAAGTTTTCCATGCAAAGTTCGCAAGTTTGCATCCAAGTTTGCAGCAAACTTGCATACAAATAAAAATGTCACCCTCTTGGCAAGTTTGCA